GTCTAGATAATACAAACACCCGAGATTATGAATTAGATTATAACAATCCAACTAACAGATTATTTAGTCATATAAACCATCTTAAACCTGCTAATATGATAAGATTATAGTTGAACAGACAACAATCCGTTACTTACTATAATCTATGGATCCAAATAATCCTAAAAAAGTTAAATCACAAAAGTTTGAACTGAAAATTTTAGATCTCTTCAAGTACTACGACTTCAGTTTAGATCATTTCGTCACTGTGGTTATTTGAAAAAAAATATTAATTTCGATATCATTAATCATAAAATAGAATCTCCATGTCTCTAACTATTTTAAATTAAAAAGTAGTCAACTACAAAGTTACGTATCTTTTCGAGTACTACAATTTTATTTTAGATCATTTGTCCATCCGATATCATTTGAAAATTTTTAAAAAATGATTTTACATTTTTTTATATTGGCGTTAGGTTAAGAAAATTGTCAATATATAAATACATCTGTCTTGGCACATATCTTAAGGTTACTGCCAATACAATGGCGGATTTCTTAAGTTTAATGCCATTGTAAATTGGATTTACACCGGTAATGATTTCTTAAGCCTACCACTAGTGTAAATACAGGATTCGTACCAGAGGGAACCTCAAGAAATCCGCCAATAAAGATGTATTTACACTGGTGGTTCTTAACTATTGGGCCACAGTTCTGTTCGTACTGGTATATGTTCTTTATGAACCGCAAGTGGAAAAATCTCTAGCGCCCTGTTTATGCACTATATTACATGGGAAGTGTGCTAATTATACATGTAAGATTTGTCAACTTTCATAATACCATATTATGTTGTTTCTAGTAAGTGTACTTTAGCAGATATTTGTATGCAAAATAAAATCGAGCATTGCCGACATGTGTCACTATCCAGCCTAGACTAGTTCATTTTTCATAGGAGAGATATATACTCTGTCTTGCCCTGAACTCCTGATTGAATCAATTCCTATACTAAATTTTTGACAAAAAATAAATGATTTAATTATAGCGGTGATAGTGCATTAGCCTGTTTATTTCATTCCCCTCCATCTTCAATTCAATTTCCTTCCATGCGTTTGTGGCAGGAAATTCCAGGCTCTCTTAACTTTCAAAGATGCTCATGATAGCCAACATTTTTGAACCCACTCCGATCCGTGGTCTTTCTGTTGACCCAACCGCTACCACGCACTTCAATTCTCTCTCGATCAGGATTCAGGAGTCAGGACTACGCTCTCTCACTGGTCCATGTCCTCCATGCTCTACTTTCCCATCATCTCCTAGCATAGCATGCCCAGCACCAGCAGGGCAGCAGGGCAGCTATAAAAGGAGCTCCCCAGGCCGGCCAAGCACTGCACAACCCCATCGACGACGACGATGAGGGAGCTGATGCGGCGCCTCAGCTTCTCGGACCGCGTGAGCGACGGCAGCGGCGGCGTGCCCCGCGGGTGCGTGCCGGTGCTGGTGTGCGGCGACGGCGACGGCGAGCGGTTCGTGGTGCGCGTGGAGGCGCTGCGCCACCCGTCGTTCGCGGCGCTGCTGGAGATGGCGGCGCAGGAGTTCGAGTACAAGCAGGAGGGCATCCTCCGGGTGCCCTGCGACGTCCGCCACTTCAAGGAGGTCCTCGCCGCCGTCTCCGTCTCCGTCTCCTCGCCGCGCTCTCGGAACTGATGATTCCATTATCGAAATTATTGCTCAGACATCGTCGTCAATCCGGTTCCGATATCCCCTTCTTTAGCTAAGCCTGGCATCGCTCTGAATTAAGTGCCTAAACTGCAGTTTATTACGTAGCTAGCTAGCAATATAGTGCTGATGATGGTTGGGATACCTACCTTCTTCTTTAATTTCTTCTTCTTCTTCTTCTTCTTCTTCTTCTTCTTCTTCTTAGTTCTTCTTATTATCCTTCTTCTTCTTAGCCTTTATGTTCATTGGTTTCTTGCTGGGACAACACGGCGAGGGTTTGCTAGCTATACATATCTGCTCGGAGATGTCTAGCCAACAACTGCTTTATGCATCCGCGCACTGCAGTGCGCGTGTAAAATTAAGATTAGGCCTCCTGTCAGATGTTCTGCGAAATCAATGGATATTATTGTTCAGTCTGCTGCACATATACACGCTTGTGCTGTTTTATAATAACACGGGCCAAATTCTTCATCTTGTAAATGAACTCTGAAGGGATAATCATGTTTTCAAGTTAGGTTTTCAGAGTTTGGATGATATTTTTTTTTCGCGAACATGTGCCGGGGCGCAAGCTTTAGAGTTTGGATGATAATGAAGAGCATATGTCTTGGAGTTAGGAATATCTAGCTAGCTAGTACAAAGTTGAGTCAACTTTTCAATAATTTCATCCTAGCTAGCGCACAGCTCAGCGTTACCTGTTCGGGAGGCGGTAAACGATCGTGAATTATTTACTGTTGGCTGATTTAGTGTGAGAGAAAAATATTGTTCTGGCTGAAAATTTTCGATCATTTACGACCGAACGAACAGCCTGTCGAGATTCTCCTCGGCGGTGCTATCCTATACTAGTACATTTGGGAGAGTGTTGCATGTACTCCTATATTTAATTATTGGTGGAGACTAGTCATCACTAGTATTCAGAGTGGAATCCAGAAAATATAGAACAATTTTCCTGAAGACTCGCGGACAGTATCGACTTTTAAGCGCCGGAATGGTCAATAGAGGTTCCTTTCCTCCAGTACCTGTGTTACAACTTACAAACTTACAATACGGTTCCTTTTCCCCGTGAAACAAATCCCCGGTTGGTTCAAATACTGTTGATGATACATCAGTTCTAGTAATAAGTATATGTGCTTACCTAGGCTCACGAGTTTTTTTAAATTATTTTTTAGATTTATCCAAACGGCCGGCCTTTCGCAGCTTGGCCTTAATTTAACCACAACTCTTTTGGAAGAGAATATCAGGAACTATTTAACATACTATACATTGATCAGTACATGTCGTTCGGAAAAAAAATACAATTCTAGTTCTTTTCTTAGTCAAACTACTTAAATTGATTAAATTTATAAAAAAATATTAATATTGATAACACCAAATAAGTATACTATAAAAATTAATTCATGGTGAATCCACTACTTATTTAGTATGACAATATTGATGTTTTTTTTTTATAAAGCTGGTCAAACTCGAGATGGTTTCACCTGGTACTGCTCTAGAATTACATTTTCCTTTGGGGACGGAGGGAGTAAAAATCTTATCTTACTTGTCATTTACTGTATGAGTTATGACATGATCACATAAACACTAATAATCTCACATGCACACATTTGGCCATCTTCTAGTTTTCCTTCCCCTCACTGTAGTTTCTAAATTCTTAATTGAGAATTGAATCCATTTGTTAGGGAACAAGATCTTTTCATAGATTCATTGTAATCTTGAAATCCTATAAAAATGGAAACAACAACTTTAGTCGCCATCTCCATATCTAGTTTATTTGTAAGAGTTACTTAAGAAGTTCTCCCCTTTACTGCAATGAAATGATTTCTTTTCTTCAAATAAATTATTTCATTTTCTTTTGTTCGGGAACAAACCACGCTGATCAAAATTGTGGTGTTTTTGAATTGTCTAATAAATCATTCTTCACTTGGCCTAAAGTCCAATCATTGGTCAATACTATATACTCAGTCGTATTAGTCATTACAAATATATATATGATCATGAGTGTTTATTATCGCCCTGTTCGCTTGGCTTATAAGGTGTACTTTTTCAGCCAACGAACAGTATTTTTCTCTCACAACAAATCAGTCAACAGTACTTTCAGCCATGGCTTATCAGGCAAGCGAACATGACATATATCAAGGGCACGAGTTTTAGTTACGCTCCAAGCCCTAGAGAACTCAGAACGAGGACTAGTATAGTAATTAATACACAGATGATTTACAGATCAACAACCAGCTACCTGAGTACCAAGGAACTTCATTTACTTCATTTTTTGTTTGAAATTTATTACTCCTTCTCCTTTTTTAATTGTCATTCTCACTTTCCAAGAAGTCAAACATACAAAATTTTGACTAAATATATACAAGAAAATATTAGTATTTATGGTCATAATTAGTACATTAGATATATTATTGATTCTATTTTGATAATAAATTTATATGGAGATACAAATGTTGCTAATATTTTCTACAAATCTAGTTAAATTTAAGAAAGTTTCAACAGTACGAATACCATAGCGACACTTAAAAGGGACAAAGGGAGTAGGATTCTATGTCTAACTTCTTTAATTTTAACTAACTTCTAAAATATACATCAACATCTACAAGAATCAGATTAGTTTAACTAACCTTTAGTATTTTTTATAAACTTGATCAAAGTTTAAAAATTAACTTAAAACAAAATGGAACATCGTACGTTTTAGTCCCTGTTCGCTTGAGCTTATCAGTCAGAATCAATCTTATTTTTTAATCATAAAAATAGTGTTTTTTTTCTCATAACAAATCAGCTCTACAAATCAGTCATAGACAGCGATAAGTCCTGCCATACATGCCCTTAGAACGGAGGGATCGACATTCCTTATCAAATGTTAAGCGGGATCATTAAATATAGCTCGTACGCGCGCGTGTTATTACATATAAAAATATCTAGCTCATTCTAACTGTTCGTACCCTAAGGAGTTTTCAAGAGCGCAGCCGCTAGCTAGCTAATAATAATCGTTGGACACTTGAACCTTGTGCGATTTCAAACGTTTTTTCCTTGTGACCAATGATACCCTCTCCGTATACGTATATATATACATTTGACCCCGTGGATGTTCAATGAGATAGATGCAACGTTTGACCGCTACATGTCAAGGTCAACCAATAGGAACGCACATTTGTTGGCGGTGATACGTTTCATCAAGAGTTAAATGCACCAGAGATCCATTAACTTATGAGAAAGTTTCGGTTAGATCCATCAACTTCTAAAGTGACTTTTTGGGTCCATAAATTTTGTATGCCGTATCACTTAGGTCCATATCCCGCCACGCGGGCTTCTCATGCTGACGTGGCCTGCTGACATGTCCTTCTCGAGCAGCTCTTAACAATGCATTTTGTCAAACAGCTTGTGGGCGAGCACCACTGTCTCGGCGCCGAACATCGGATGCACACGGGGTCGCCGCACGCCTGCTGCTCCAAGTACCGGAATGCGTTCACGATGCGGTCCGACGGCGTCGGGTTGCCGCTGCTGTTGGACGACCTCGTGCTCTTCCGGTGGGGCTTCAGCACGGACGCGGCGCGGCCGACGAACTCCGTGAGGTGGAGCACGATGAGCGACATGGGCGACTCGCGGGAGGAGCCCGACGCCTCCAGCAGGTCGATCAGCGGCGCCGCGTGGTCCTCGCTGTAGAGGCAGGTGAGCACGCGGAGGTCGGCGCTGAGCCGCGCGTGCTCCAGCAACCGCCGCTTCGCCCGCGCGAACTGCCCCGACGGGTAGTGCTCCGCCGTCGCCTTCATGGTGTCGCCCTAGTTGTTGATGGCGGCCACCTCCACGATGCCCGGGATGTTGAGCATGAGCGCCAGCACGATGGCATCCCGGAACAGCATGGTGAAGAAGAGCCCCGCGGCGACGCAGCCGACGAGCTTGCCGGACACGCAGACCGCCACGAACAGCTCCAGCGCGCACCACTTCTCCGACGCCTCGGACCTGGTGAACTCGGCGAGGTCGGTGCGGTAGCCGGAGAGCGCCATGTAAACGGGCAGGAAGAGCGCGATGAAGAAGGAGTCGAGGCGCTCCGTCATGGTGGCGCCGATGGGCATGCCGCCGGGGATCTGGTTCACCGCCTCCTCCGCGCTGCAGGAGCTCTACATGTTCAGGAGGCGGGAGTACGTGCATGCCATGGACGCGGTCTGCGCCCGGCTCGCGGTGATCGGCGGGTGCCGGCTCGCGGTGACCGGCGGCGCGGTCATGCTGACAGGCTGCAAGGCCGAGCGTTTTGTACTCGAGAGCAACCCCGGCGGCATGAACGGCTGGTGCAAGAAGTGCGTGGGCCTGGTGGCGGCGTGCATGAGCGACGGCATCACCAAGAAGTTGCGCATAGAGGCCAAGGTTTCCATCTCGGCGTGTGGCGCGCTCATGACGCCGCCTCTCCTCCGCAACAGCGGGCTCAAGAACAGGCACATCGGCCGCAACATTCACCTGCACCCGGTGCCTATGGCGTGGGGCTACTTCCCGGATGGCATGCCGGAGGCAGCCGCAGAGCTCAGTGGCAAGTGCTACGAGGGTGGCATCATCACGACCATGCACCGCGTCACCGCTTGCAGTATCATCCAGACGCCAACGCTGGGGCCCGGGTGCTGGGCTTCGCTGATCCCCTGGGAGTCCGGCCGCGACATGAAGGAGCGCATGCTCCGGTACGCGCGCACCGCGCACGCCTTCGCCCTGGTTCGCTACCGCGGCGCGGGGCACATGGACGGCGAGGGCCGCGTGCGCTGCGCCCCGAGCCGGGAAGACGTGGAGGAGCTCCGCAACGGGCTGCGCCAGGCGCTGCGCATCTTGGTGGCCGTCGGAGCGACCGAGGTGGGCACCCACCGCAGCGACGGGCTCCGGCTGCGGTGCGACGGCGGCCTCCGCGACGAGGACCTGGAGGCGTTCCTCAACGAGGTGACCGTAGGGAAAGGCCCCATGCTCCCGGGGACTGACACGTGGGCGCTCCATTGCTCGGCGCACCAGATGGGCAGCTGCCGGATGGGGTCCAGCCCGAAGGACGACGCCGTGGATGGGCGCGGCGAGAGCTGGGAGACGGAGGGGCTGTACGTGTGTGACGGCAGCCTGCTGCCCACGGCTGGTGACCATGCTACTTCTCTCACATCCATGACTTGCTCGACGAGCCTAGTCATTATGCCACGTCAGCATGAGAAGTCCGCGTGGCGGGATATGGACCTAGGTGATACGGTATACAAAGTTTATGGACCCAAAAAACCATTTTGAAAATGTTGATGGATCTAACCGAAACCTCCTCACAAGATAATGGACCTCTGGTGCATTTAACTCTTTCATTAATATCGTACACGTACATACATATATATTATTGTCGACGACGACGTACCATTTGAAAATGGCAACGATGAATTTGTAAGACTCGCTCATCATGCAAACGCGCTAACAGGAAAATGGCCGGCCAGGGTGTTACCTAGTTTATTTGTTGACGGAAGACTTGAAGTAATTATTAGAGTTTTTTACCTATATGGCTCTGGAAAAAAAATGCATGTTCCTTATATAGCCTCTTTGTTTTTGAACTTACTTGTATGCCCCGAAACGAAATTTATTTCCTTTTATGGCCTTCTGTCAAGTCTGTTAGGATATTCTGTTTATTTAGCCACCGGTTGAGACGTGAAAGGTCAAAATTACCCTTCTGCTATTTGTTCCAATGCCGCCGGGCGCCGCATGCCCGCATCCTGCCAAGATTGAGCGGAAAGACTAGAGATCGAGCGAAAAAAAACACGATGGGGGAGGCCGTCGACGCCACCACAACCGGCCAGGGCGCCGCCGCCGGGACCTTCGGCCCCGGATCCGCCGGATACGGCTCCGCTCAGCCCCACTCCCATCATTCCTTGCCATGGGGGAGGCACCACCGCCAGCCTGGTTGTCGACAAAAGATGCTCGGCAGTCCACCGAGGGGTATCCCACGATGGTAGATTTATCGTAGAGGTGAGCGAGATCAGGAGCGAGATGATAATACAAGCAGCAAGACACAAGATTTAGACAGGTATGGCCGTCAGTATGACGTAATACCTACATCCTGTGTTCTGATGTATTGCATTGAGATATCGAGTAGGAGATCCCTGCCTCTTCTTATATACTCTGGAGGGGTAGGGTTACAAGGAAAGTATCATATTTGGTACTATACAATAGCTTGTAGTGCACGCCGAGCAGCGCCGTGCATGCCTTGATCTTGTGGGCTGGACCACCTCTGATGGTGCGGTCCATGTCTTGTCTTGTGGATACCGGGGGCTGTACCCCCACAGCTAGTCCCCGAGCCTGACAGTAGGTGACGTAGTCACGTGGTGCCTGGGTCAGAAAGTAGAAGATCAGCCGAACAGGCAGCTAGTCCCCGGGCATAGCCTCAAGATGAGAAAAGCACACATTCACCGTAAGGTGAAGTGTACCCACTTAGTCCCTGAGCCTGCGGAAAGATGAAGAATGAATCTTGTAGCAGAGTCAAAGAAAAAGAAGTCTGAAAGCTTTGCCGACGTCATCCGACATGCGCGTATCAAGACCCCAGACGTACTGTCCAAGATCAGCACCCTGATTCGAACAGCATGGAGCAGCTTGATAGCACACCGATGAGACGTAGCAAGATCCGACCACCAAGGGCGATGTCCGAACGTCAAGGAGTCCCCGGCGTAGTTGGCGACGTCCGAGCACCGAGGAGTTCCCGGCGTAGCTGACGATATCCGAGCACCAAGGAGTTCCTAGTGCAGCTGGCGACGTCCGAGCACCGAGGAGTTTCCGGCGTAGCTGGTGATGTCTGAGCACCGAGGAGCCCCCGGCATAGCTGGTGACGTTCGAGCACTAAGGAGTTCTCGGCATAGCTGGCGAGGTTCGAGCACCAAGGAGTCCCCGGCGTGGCTGGTGATGTCCGAGCACCGAGGAGTCCCTAGCGTAGCTAGCGATGTCCGAGCACCGAGGAGGTCCTGGCGAAGCTGGCGAGGTCCGAGCACCGTGGAGTCCCCGATGTGGCTGGCGATGTCCGAGCACCGAGGAGTCCTCGGCGTAGCTGGCGAGGTCCGAGCACCGAGGAATCCCCAGCGAAGCTTGAGAGGTCCGAGCACCGACGTAGCTAGCGACGTTCGTGCGGTGAAGTGTGCCCACTTAGTCATCAAGCATGAAGAATCCGAGCGTCGAGGAGTCCCCGGCGTAGCTAGCAATGAAGCACGAGCGACGAACAATCTGGTCAACTGGTCGGCGGTGATGTGAGCATTGAGTAGAAGCGACCGACGAACAGTCCGATCAACTAGTCGGCGACGGAGTCCATGAACTAAGCGGTCCAACCAGTTGATCGGTGGAGAAGTCCGAGCACCAGGTGGTCCGGTCACCTGGACGATGATCCTGCAATACAAATATGTAGAACGGGTAGTACATGATGTAAAAATATATGAACTCCGGAGAAAAATCAGCAATGGCGAAGAAATAGTATATATAGCTCGGCGATCAGTTGGTGTGAATATGTATTTATATTTAATATGAACCGCCCGAACAATTAGTGTGTAACTGAGTCTACAGCCCTAACTAGCCTGTTAACCATAACGTCGAGCACGGAGCCCATACATGTGTTGGAGGAATAGGCGTGACCAAGTGTCACACCCAATTTTAAGGATAAAATTGAATGCACAAAACTCGTGTGTGCCTAGGAATCAATCACACACACAAGCTGACAAATTACATAAAGTATCATCACGGTGTCTCATACATCAGAGTTATAATAAAACTTAGTTTTATACATCACAGCGGAATACTAAAAAGACAATAAAACTCTCGTGGCCGTCATCACAGGGAAGGTCAACTGGTTGACCACAAGCCTAATAATCCTCCGAGAAATCCTCATACCCGTTGTCATCTGTTACCCATCCGGGATTTTTATCCAAGTAAAGAAAATAAACAAGTGTAAGTACATTCCGTACTTAGCAAGATAACATGGGGTTATGAAGCTCAAAAAGGATAGACTCTGGTTTACTGCAGTTAGCATTTTTAATAGGTCAAGCTTTTATTCTCAAGTATTATCAAGTTATGCTTAAGCTCCCATTTAATTCCCATAAGAACATATATCGGGGTCAAGTGTACCATATATCATCATTGAACAACTTTAAATTATCATCAACAAGTAACCAGTTATTCTGTGAGTTTTCCGGGCCGCTCGTAACCGTGAGCACGGCTGTTATAACAGTTTGTTACCCTCTGTAGAGGTGGTGCACATTCACCGCGAGTCGTGATCCCCATATGCCCGGATTAATTACTCCCATGTCACTTCCAAGGTGAGCGGGCAGGGTACACTATGAAGCCATTTCATAGGTTTCCCTAACAAGTTAGGGCCGCTAGGTTTCCTTGGCAGACAGATGTAGGAATCCCCCTTTCCTATGGCACATATCCATCGTGGCTATACACATAGGAACAGAGGCAGCCCTATACCCAACGTGGCAAGCCCCATTTACGCCAAAAAGGTAACCTCTAACTAGCTAGAAAAGGTCCTATTACTAAGCTAAAGTCAGAGCCATATGACTCTCACGGTTGCACTGTCAGTCCCAGCTTTTGCCGACAGATAAGTCCTTATGGAGGGCCGAGAGCAACATGAACAAAGGTCATTTGCACTTTCGCCCTATGGAACAGTTGTTATAAATCATGTTACTCACTTTGTTCCATAGTATCATTCATCAACATGTATGTCAAGTTCAGTTAGAGCACTAGCAATCTACCCACATGCATTTAACCCATAGGAGACAAGGAACAGGATAAACAATCACTAGGATGTCCTTACGGGTATCAAAATTAGACACATGCAAATGAGTAATTGATTAAAGTAAAATAGGACATCAAGGAAGGCCCATGTTATACTTGCCTTGGTTCACAAACTCGTGCTGGTCCTACTGGTCGTCGAAGAGTTCTTGGTCTCCCACGTTTTCCTCACCGTCTGAACGCGATCAACACAGCAACATACAACATTCCAAAAGCATTCATGCAAAGCAAACATTCCTATCATTAGAACAGTACACCAACAGTATTGAAATCAAGATAAAATGTTTGTAAAACTAATCTACGTCTCGCTACGATCACGTCAACGCGAAGTTCACGAAAAACGGAGCTAAAATGCGAAAGTTATGATTTAAACGGGTTTTCATATAGCCATATATTTAATTAAATCTAATCATGAAATTAAAAAGTTTCAAACTTGACTAACAGTAGCTCCAACATGTAGCTTATGAAATTACGAATCTAACGCGATTTGAATGGATCAATTCGGAGCTAAAACGACAATTTTATAAGCAAAACAGTTCAAATGGCATTTCTGTAATTACTGAAAACATATTTTTGACTTAAGCCGTGGAGTTTACGCTTTCCAAACGGGATTGCGCATTCGGGAAATACGCTTTGGGCTGCGGGTTAGGACTTAGAAAAGTCCAGGGACTCTTTAGCAAAATTACCCGCGAAGGGGTAACTTCTAATCCTGGCCGTTGATCTCGCGATGGGTGGCTAGGATCGGCCTGGGGAGGGACGGTCGGCCGGAACAGGGTCACCGGTGGCCAAGCGCCATTGCCGGCGACGTGGAGGTCACGGTCGCGCGCGGTTATGGTCTAGGGTTCACCAAATGGACATCCAAGGGCACCAGTGAGCGCGGGGAAGAAGGGGGGTCGCAGACCATGCCGCTTTGGTGGTCGGGAAGCAATGCTAAGCGGTGGTGGCCGCCATGGCCAGCGACTCATGGCTCATGAGCTCGCGGCCAAGGCTCGAGAAGCCAAGAAACGAGAAATGAAAAGCATGGGAGGAGAGGGGAGAGTACGGCGATGCTCACCACGGTGAAAACCGGAGCGGAGGCGGTTCGGTGACGGGGGTTCGCGCGGAGGAGGATGATGGAGCTCAGAGACCTCGGCTGCGGTGGTTGCGGCCTTCCTCGGTGCTTGGCAAGAGCGAAAACGAGAGCGGGGGCAGCCAGTGCTGTGGGGGGTCGAGCTGCTATTTGAAGCAGCCGAGGCACCGAGGGCGCTCCCACGCCGCTTGTTGTAGGCGACACAGTTGCGGCCAGGCGAAGGCGGTTCCG